TTGTTTTAAATTTCTTCCATCTATTCCAAGGGATTTAACCATTTCTCCCGCATTCAGTTGGTGATGTAAGAGAATACCCTTTGCACATTGTTCATTAATACAATTATAATGAGTCTCCAGGCTTGTGGCATCTTTCTTTCCCATGTCCTATAAATCATTTGATTGTTTTGCAAGAATATGGAATTGCAGCCATTCATCCAATGATGAATATTAACTTATACTCTACTGTACTTTTTTTCATACACAATAACTTTTTTTTCTCTCATTACTTTGTGGAAGATATTTTAATGACAAACCAATGTAATGCTAACAATGCATGTAACGCAAGTGAAATGATAGTCTGGAGAGCCATGACACAAACTACATCACAACTACAACTTGTCAGGTAGCAGCTGTAAGATGCCATCGATTAGAATACACATCACAATTTCAGACATTAAAATGCAAAACAGAAAATGTTATGTCTTACAATTAACAAATCATTCACTTAATAAAGGTCTAGTGGTCTACCACAGGAGACTAGTAGTAAACCACTGACAGGAGATTTTTTTGAAAATGAGTGATGGACTTCATTCTTAAGGACTTTGATAGGTAATTATAGGAATGACAAAAATACTCAAATAACTATAATACAAGATAGGATCTGATTTAAATAAAGTGCTATGGAATTCAGGTACACTGTTATAGGAATTCAAAGTTAAGTAGAAACTGCTTCCTGCTTAGTGGGAAGAATCAGAGAGAAAGAGATTAGAGGAAGGGCTGAAAGGGGCCATCCAAGAGCAAACCCGAGGGATGACTGGCAAAGTAATGTCTTAGAGGAAGTAGATGAATTTATCTTAAGAAATAAAATGTCTTCTTTATAGCAGCATTATTTATAATAGCCAAGATATGGAAGCAGCTCAATTGTCCAACAATTGATGAATGGATAAAGAAAGGTGTGTGTGTGATGGAATATTATTCAGCCATGAAAAAGAATGAAATCTTGCCATTTTTAACAACATGGACGGAGGTAGAGTATAATGTTAAGTGAAATAAGTCAGTTAGAAAAAGACAAATACCATATGGTTTCACTCATATATGGAACTGAAGAAACAAAACAAATGGACAAAGGAAAAAAAAAGAGATGAACTAAGAAATAGCTCTTAACCATAGAGAATAAATTGATGGTTACCAGAGGGAAGAGTGAAACAGGCAAAGGGGATAAGCAGCACACTTAATATGATGAGCACTAAACAATGTATAGAATTGTCAAATCACTATACCGTACACCTGAAACTAAAATGTCTTTCTCTTATGATAAACAGGAAAGAAGAGGTTAGAAATTATAAAACAAAACAAAACAAAAAAAAACCAAACTCAAAATGGAAAGGAAGAGCTGGAGGTAGGGCAGATTAGCTGACATGGCATCTATCGAAGATGAGGAAACATGCAGGTAACTGGTGTGGAACAGGTACCATGGGAAATGCAATAGAGAGTAACTTAGAAGACTATGCCTCACTAGTAAGCACCCAGCCGAGGCTGGATTCAATGAATTTTGAATGGAACTACTTTAGCCCAGGCTCACAGCTTTCTCTAGCAAAGTTCAGAACAGAAATAGGGAGGGATAAAAAGATAACTTGTGGGATTTACTCTATGACACAGGTGAAGATTTAGAATGAAGGAGATACAATGTCCAGCCAGAGTCCCAATTTTTGTAGCATTAATGAAGGAGACATAATTGATTTCATCTTCATAAAAGTAGAATAATCATATATTTGCCAAAGATTCTCAAATCTACTACCTCATTTCATCTACCCAACAGATCTGAAATAAGATATTTTTATATGTTTTTCATAGAAATGGAAAGACTTCAAAAGATTGATTCCCAAATCACCCAGTAGATCGTAGTGCAAAGCCACTCAATTCTATGCCCTACTACTTTTCCTGCTACATCAGAGCGGCTTCCGCTGCATACTTATTCCTCCACAGTCTACTCCTGAATGAGTTACCCAATGGTCTGTTTTGGTACCAAATGAAATATCACTAGTCAAGGCTCACTTCACTCTTACTCTGTTAGCCTTCGTTTCTAGGTATTATATAAGGAACATATTCTTTTAATCTTAAAAATCTTACATGGAAAAATGATAAAAAATGTAAATTAAAGAATTAAAATAAAATAAAAAATTTAAGGATTAGAATCTTAATATTTACAATGTATATAGCAGTTACTCAAACTTAAAATATGAGTAGTAGACACTGCCAACTTTCTCAAGGTAAGCCGAGCAAATCCTCATATACTGTCTCTAAAGCTCTGCTTCCAAAGTATACAAGCAAACTCAAGGATTCTTTTTCGTTGTAGGAATGCAATCAGAAACAATCCACATGTCCATCAGCTAATAAATGAATATTATTATTCATTTCATACGTATACCCATACAAAACAATATTCTTCAATGTAAAGCCATACAACACTGAAATAGGCTACAACATGAACCTTGAAAATATTATGCTAACAGAAGCCAGTCACAAAGACCACACACTCTATGATCTGATTGCTGTGGATTGTCCAGAAGAGGCAAATCTACAGAGACAGAAGGTACATGAGTAGCTGCCAGGGGCTGGCAGAGTCAGAAGGAAGTAGGAAGTAACTGTTAATGAGTATGAGAGTTCTTTTTGGGGTGATGAAAATGTTCTAAAATGGGATCCCTGGGTGGCGCAGCAGTTTAGCGCCTGCCTTTGGCCCAGGGCGCGATCCTGGAGACCCGGGATCGAATCCCATGTCGGGCTCCCGGTGCATGGAGCCTGCTTCTCCCTCTGCCTGTGTCTCTGCCTCTCTCTCTCTCTCTCTGTGACTATCATAAGTAAATAAAAATTAAAAAAAAAAAAAAGAAAAAGAAAATGTTCTAAAATTGTGGTGATGGGGCAGCCCTGGTGCACAGCGGTTTAGCACCGCCTGCAGCCAGGTGTGATCCTGAAGACCCGGGATCGAGTCCCACGCTGGGCTTCCTGTATGGAGCCTACTTCTCCCTCTGCCTGTGTCTCTGCCCCTCTCTCCCTCTGTCTCTATGAATAAATAAAATCTTTAAAAGTAAATAAATAAACAAATAAATAAATAAAATTGTGGTGATGGCTGTACATATTTGTGAACATACTAAAAACCATTAAATTGTACACATGCACAAGTGGGTTGTATGGAATGTAAATTATGATTATGTTTCAACACAGCTGCTAAAAATTGTAATTAGTGGGTAGTTGCTCTGGATATGGGCTTATGTTATGTGTATATAGACATATACATATGCCGAACTAATTAAAATGTGAAATAAATATAAGACCTTACATTAAAAAATTTTTTTTTCTTAAAGATTTTATTTATTTATTCATGAGAGAGAGAAAGAGAGGCAGAGACACAGACAGAGGGAGAAGCAGGCTCCATGCAGGGAGCCTGATGTGGGACTCGATCCCAGGACTCCAGGATCATGTCCTGGGCGGAAGGCAGGCACGAAACCGCTAAGCCACCCAGGGACCCCCCCCCAAAAAAAATTTTTTTTTAGCGGTTTAATAAACCTCTCACATTTCGGTGATGCCAATAAATCTATCTGAGGCCAAGACCTCAACAAACTGACCGTACTTCCATCCTCTCAGCGCCAAATATATAAATATACAGCTGGCTGCCATGTATTTCCTCTTACACTTTCTTCCATTCCCCTACTTCAAATTCAAACTCACCCTGGCATTCCCAGACATTCAGGCATTCTGCGACTATGGTTAAAAATGAACTCTTACTCCTCTGGACTCTGATTTTCCTCCATTTTTACTTTGTATTCCTACATGACTTGTGTTTAAAAACAAATACTGCCTACTGAACTTACAGGAACAGCCTGATGTAGAGAAACTGTGCAGCAGTATCACACCCTCAGACAAAATGGACAACACGCAGATCACCATGTGTTCTTCCCTTACCCAGCTTGAGATATGTCAATGGCCTTGAAAACAGTAGGGGTGAGGTAAGACGTTTTCCATTCCAAATGCCTAACCCTTAATAATTTGGAACCGTTCCCCAAGAATCCTAGTAAAGCAGAGGGTTTTGAGTACACTCCTCTTAAAAAAAATTTATAATTTGATGTTTCAGATAGACAGAGTCTATCATTCTAGAGTACTGCTAATTTTTAAGTGAAGGACTATCAAAGACTAAAAGTTTCTAAGACATATTCACATTCTGATGATAGCATTTAAAACTGATACAATGCATTGAGAAGGCAGCAACACCTCCCATGGTCAAAATGGTGTTAAAAATAATTTATTAGAAACAAAAGGCTCTATATAGACAGAGCTTTACCACAGCTTTAGGTGTGTAAGCAGAACATTGGGGAAAACGTAGGTATCTAACAGAAACTGGAAAGTCCAGTCAATTATGGAGAAGAGCCACAAGAGAACACCACACCCCGAGAAAACACCTATAAAGATAAGGTAGAAACATGGGTTCAAATGGTCTATGATATAAAGTGAAATGCCAGAACATAAAGTTTTATTCAAAACTTTTTACTTTTTGTTTTTATTCAAAAGTATGATTTAACTGTATGTCATCTCTAAAAAAATACATCATCTTTTAAAAATATCTTTTAAAAAATCATTTGGAAAAACAATTCATCTTCAAATCTTTCATTTTTAAAGCTTCCCCATCCATTCTTACTTGTTCAACTAAATTTTTCCTTTTTGTTTTACTGTCCTATGCACTGTCTTTCTGGTCATTTCTATTTTCTAACACAGTTGTCTTATTTTCTTCATTCATTATCCTAACAAAAATATCACTGCCTATCATGCTCTCTCTTTCAACTCCAGGAAAACTATCTACAACCACTTCAATTCTCTCCTGCTTGCTATCACTGCTCAAGTTACAAAGCAGAAGAGGAGACTGAAGTGGTACAACACTTTACTGCCCCAGGTCTTCAAGTTACTTTCTATCTTAGCATACGCAGGAAATAGACATTTAAAATAATCAGGTAATACAGATTTCTTACCTATTGAATGAGTCTGATTCTGATGAAGAAAGAGCTTCTTCTTGAATATCAGTACAACTGGAAGAATCATCTGGTCTATCAGGCTCCATTCTCCCTGGGGATTCCAGCTTTGATTGAGAGAAGTGGTTTGTTATGGGGGAAGTATCTGAGAATTTCATTTTTTTATCTTCCCGTTCTAAAAAAAGAAAAATGAAAGAAAAATATTTACAAGTTCTACAAAATCTACTTCTATATGCTTATTATTTCTACAACATTTAATATTGCTATTTATACGTCATAAAATGGAAGTTTTTGTAACATTGATTCCAAAACTCTAGCATGTCCAAAACTCTAGTCAGGGCACGAGAATCAACACTACCATGTGCCATCTAATGATAATGCCCACTTATGTATTTCTAGATTAATGAATTTAAAAAAAATTTTCCTTTTAAAACCAGGAGTAGTGAACTATGGAATTCTAATGAGGCTTCTATTTACAATATTACTAAAGAATTCCCGCATATTTCACAGATAAGAGAAAACTGATAAACATATGAAGCACAACAAAAAAGGATGAAAGATTCGAATGAGAGAACTAAAGGCTTGGGGCACCTGGGTGGCTCAGCTGGTTGAGCGTCTGACTCTTGGTTTTGGTTCAGGTCATGATCATGGAATGGAGCCCACACCCTCCTTCACATTCAGCAGGGAGTCTGCATGAAGATTCTCTCCTTCCCTCTGTATCTCCCTTCACTCTCATGCATATGCTGGCGTGCACGCTCTCTCAGATGGATGGATGGATGGATGGATGGATGGATAGATGTATGGACGGATGGATGATAGGAGAGAACTAGGATATTTGTCACTGACTATGTGGCAGTGAATCCATCTGGCCATTTCTTTTTGTTTGTTACAAAGAATCTAATATTTACTATGGAAAATGAAAACTCATCAGACATAACCAGTATTTCCGTTTGATCTAATACATGTCATATTTCTATGTATCCCTTGTCATATTCTGAATTTCCAAGGTCTCTTGTTGCAGATAAAAATAAAGGATGCTAGAGGTATGCAGACAGTATTTCCTAGAATGCAACATACAGGTATGACCAAGTATCTTCAAATACGAGTGCAAAAAATAATATCCACGAAGCATCCCTCAGTGACCAGGACTTTCCCTCACGACCTGTTTCAGGACTGTGCTAAGATTTCAGTTGCTCTGTCTTTAAGATTCAGGAATTGAGTAAATACTTAGCATGCAAGCCACATGTGCTAATAGTACAGAGCACCCTTTTGTAAGTTTCCTCACAGAGAAGCAGAGCTTTTACACATCACTCATCCAGTGTACTTATATAAGCAAGTAACCTTCAACAAAAGACACTAAAAAGAATTCTTAAGGTTTTGTCATAAAGAGAAAATTTATAGAAAGAGTATAAGACAGGTTCTTCAAATGTTTTTTAGTTTTTGTTTTTATTTATTCATGAGAGATACATAGAGAGGCAAAGACATAGGCAGAGGGAGAAGTAGGCTCCTGGTGGAGACCCCGTTGCAGAACTTAATTCTAGGACCCAGGGATCACAACCTGAGCCAAAGGTAGACGCTCAACCACTGAGCCACCCAGGGGTCCCAGATTCTTCAAAAAGAAACCTTTCCAAGTCCATACAGTGAGATTTTTCCAGATATGAGAAGTCTTCGTTATACTAAAGAACAGCATACGTGACAAAAGTGTAATTTCTATAAATAAGCTCTTGATGTTGTCGGGCTTTCAATAAGCCCAACCATTACCAAAACAAAACTGTACCCTCTAACATTTATCTGAAAAAAGGAAAGAAGAAGCTAACCACAACAACCATCCAGGAGCTCAAGATTTCCTCTGCTAAACAGATGCCAAGGATCACATTAAGAACAATCAATCACCCAGTAAACTCAGTGAACACAGACAATTCAACACTCAGCTGGCTGGGAGAATGGAATCAAGATTATGAAACAGGGAGCAGGAATTTAACTTACAACTATCTTTTAGGGATGCCTGGGTAGCTCAGCAGTTGAGCCTTTGGCTCAGGGCATGATCCTGGTCCCGGGATCAAGTCCTGCACTGGGCTCCCTGTGAGAAACCTGCTTCTCCCTCTTTATATCTGCCTCTGTGTGTCTCTCATAAATAAATTTTAAAACTAAAAAAAAAAAAATCCTATCTTTTATTTTTGCACCTGACATATATTCTTTTCTTAATTCTTTCTCTCTTATATAAGCCTTTCCAAGATAAATTCCCTCTTGGGGACAAGTATCAGTCAACAATTTGAGGGCACTGAAAGTCAGCTATCTTTCATATCCGTCCATAGACGTCAGAAGTGGACGTCAAACAGAGCCCCCAACTCTGAGGCTCTAACATCAAGCCTCCCCAAAGACATGTGACAAAACAGGAGAAGGACTTATTTGAGATAATGTCTATCTTGTTCACTTATATTGGCACTTCAATATACTTTGCCAATATAAACTTTGGCAAGTTTATTCCAAAGAACGAAAACTATACTGGTTGTATGATGCTATACAGAGCTCAACTTCCCAGTCAGCCTGTGCCAGTCTGTCTGTCCTCCCCTCTCCCACACTCTCTCCACCCCTCAGACATGCACACTCATGCACAACCATCTCTGAATCCCACAGAGAGCAATATTCATGGGCATATATGCATACAATGCACAATCCTGAGTATAAGCAATCATTTTCAAGAGACATTCAACCAATAAGCAAAAATGTTCTCCCAATCTGAAATATTAAGCCAGATTTTTTTCAGAAACTATTTTCTTGGAAAAACATTTAACAATTTAACGAACATGCTCAAGTGGTTCAAAAAGAGCATGAAAAGCATCAGCGACCTACTAAATGATACCAGGAGAATTTAGAAGAAAAAATTAAGAATGTACCAGCACATAAAAGAATAAGACTTTAGGAACAAATCTAACCAAGGAGGTGAAAAACTTAAATGCTGAAAACTACAAAACATTGTTGAAAGAAATTAAAGAAGCTATAAAGACATCCTGTATTCATAAAGTGGAGACATTATTATTAAGATAGCAAAAGTAACCGAAGCAATCTATAGTTTCTTTTTTTTTTTTAAAGATTTATTTATTTATTCATGAGAGAGAGAGAGTGAGGTAGAGGGAGAAGCAGGCTCCATGTAGGGAGCCCGACGTGGGACTCGATCCAGGGTCTCCAGGATCAGGCCCTGGGCTGAAGGCAGCGCTAAACCACTGAGCCACCCGGGCTGCCTCAATCTATAGTTTCAATTCAATCCCAACAGTAACTTTTTGCAGAAATAGAAAAATTCATCCTAAAATTCACATGGAATCTCAAGGGACCCAAATGGTCAAAACAATCTTGAGGGATCCCTGGGTGGCTCAGTGGTTTAGCACCTGCCTTTGGCCTAGGGTGTGGCGTGATCCTGGAGTCCCGGGATCGAGTCCCACATCAGGCTCCCTGCATGGAGCCTGCTTCTCCCTCTGCCTGTGTCTCTGCCCCGCCCCTCTCTCATGAATAAATAAATAAATAAAATCTTAAAAAAAATCTTGAAAAGAATAAAGTTGGAAGACTCATACCTCTTGACTTTGAAATTTATAACAAAGCTACAGTAATTGTAACTGTATAGTGCTGACATGGGAACAGACATACAGACCACAGAGTACAACAGAGAGTACAGAAATAAACCCTGACATATAGACTCAATTAATTTTTTTTTTTTTAATTTATGATAGTCACACAGAGAGAGAGAGAGAGAGGTAGAGACACAGGCAGAGGGAGAAGCAGGCTTCATGCACCGGGAGCCCGACGTGGGATTCGATCCTGGGTCTCCAGGATCGCGCCCCGGGCCAAAGGCAGGCGCCAAACCGCTGCGCCACCCAGGGATCCCGACTCAATTAATTTTTAACAAGGATATTAAGAGCATTCAACATGGATAGTCTTTTTAACAACTGGAGCTTTATCTACATGTAGAAGTATGAAGTCAAACCCTTATAGTACACACAAAAATTAACTCAAAAAGGATTACAAGGGGCGCCTGGGTGGCTCATTTGGCTAAAGGTCTGCCTTTGGTTCAGGTTGTGATATAAGGGTCCTGGAATCAAGCCCCGCATCAGGCTTCCTGCTCAGCAGGGAGTCTGCTTCTCCTTCTCCTGCCCCCACCGTTGTGCATTCTTTCTCTCAAATAAATAAATAAAATCTTAAAAAAAAAAAAAAAGGATCACAGACCTAAACCTTAAGAGCTAAAACAATAAAACTCAAAGGAGAAAACAGGAAAATCTTCATGAATGATTTGGCAACAATTTCATGGATATAATACCAAAAGCACAGGCAACAAAAGAAAAAAAATGGATATAACAGACTTCATTAAAATTAAGTACCTTTGTGCATCAAAAGAAACTATGATGAAAGCAAAGAGATAACCAAGAAAACATTTACAAATATTTGCAAATCATATAATGAAAAAGGATTAATATCCAGAATATATAAAGAATTCCTAAAAACACAAAAAACAAACCCAATTGAAAAATGAGCAAAGAGCATGAACAGACATTTCTCCAAAGAAAAACACATAGCCAATAAGCATATGAAAAGATGTTCAACATTGGTAGTCATTATGAAAATACAAATGAAAACCATGAGATATCACTTCACATCTACCTTGACGGCTATGGTCAAAACAAAACAAAACAAAACAAAACAGGTATTGGCAAGGATAGAGAGAAACTGGAATCATTAAGCACTGTTTGGCAGGAATGCTAAATGGTGCAGCGGCTTTGGAAAGAAAGAGTTTTGTGGATTCTTAAAGGTAAACAGATATATACTTCTGGTAATTCTATAAGAGAATGGAAAGTAGAGAATACCAATCTTCATAGCAGCACTATTCACAATAGCCAAAAGGTGAAAATAACCCATTATAGAAGAAGAAATAAGCAAAATGTGGCAAGTACACACAAGAGAATATTATTTGGCCGTAAAAAGCACTGAAATTTTGATATATGACACAACAGGACCTTGAAAATATCATGCTTAATGAAATAAGTTGACAAAGGACAAATATTAATATGATTCCACTTATACGAAGTACCTAGTATAAGTAAATTCACACAGAAAGTAGAACAGAGATTACCAGAGTTTGGCTAGGAAAGGGGAAAAGAGTTATTATTTTTAATGGGTACAAGAGTTTATGCTGCATGATGAAAAAGTTTTGGGTGTGGATAGTGGTAACTGTTATAAAACATTCTCAATGTATACAATTCCACTGAATTGTATATTTATGAATGGTTAAAATGATAAATATTATATTATGTACAATTAATCACAATAAAAAAAAACAGAATATTCTTGTATACTTTCCTCCATTATGATTCTGGCCCAAAGCCCTGGCAATAGAAATATAATATTAATCTCAAAAAAATTTTTTAAGATTTTATTTATTTGAGAGACAGCATTAGCAGCTGAGGGGCAGAGGGAGGAGCCGACTCCCGGCCAAGCAGGGAACCTGACATGGGGCTTGATTCCAGGACTCCAGGATCATGACCTGAGCAGAAGACAGGCAGACACTGAACTGACTGAGCTACCCAGGTGCCCCTTAATCTCAAACTTTAAAATGGATCCAAATTAAGGAATGTGCTATGTGTGGGCACACCAAGTACATAAGCTTCAGATTTTTTAGCAGAACATTCCATCTAAAATAAATACCAGTGACCTATTAAAACGTTTAGTACAAATTCTTCATGTCTATTTATTTAAAAAGTATTCTTCATTTCCTCATTATTTTTTTCCTTACTTCCTTTCTGAATGTCTACAGTTTCATTCACCAGGGTAATTTCTGACTGCTCATTGTAAACTATAACAAAAATTATTCTAAGATAAAATTACCTGTAGGATATCTCAAGATATGTAACAATAAATCCTACACCTAGAAAACATCCTCAAGCGAAATAGCTAAGAAACTTCTGATTTATCATTAAATGAAAGACTTCAGAAATTTGTCTTCAGGGTATTGTCCCAATCATTTTCCCCACAGTAACAAACTTAGTATACATTTAACAACTGCTATATGTCTAAAACTACTTTTTCCCACTTCAGATACCTAATAAAAGTGTAAACTCCTACGGTTTTTATTTTCTTTTTATATTAAAAATAAATAGTGAAATTCAGGGGCACCTGGGTGGCTCAGGTAGTTAAGGGTCCAACTCCTGATTTCAGCTCAGGTCATGATCTCAGGTCGTGAGATCGAGCCCCACATCCAGCTCCACCCTCAGCACCAAGTAGGTTTAAGATTCTCTTGCCCTCAGCCCCTCCCCCCCCACTCGTGGGCATGTGTGTGCTTTCTTTCTCTCTCTAAAATAACTAAGATCTTAAAATAAATAGTGAAATTCAACATATCTTTGTTTTTAATTAAAGTCTCTTACCCACAAATACAGGTAACAGCTTTTCTGTAGATCCATCTTCTTCTGTTACTTTTTTTTTTGACATTTCAACAGTTTTCTTGTATCCTTTTTTGGCCTGATCCACCAGAAGCCGAAATTCATTCTGATGTTTTTCACCTAAAATTCAAAAGATCTTCTCTGTAAAATATAGAAGTACATCAGGAAGTGTACAAGCTTGCTCAAGAATAACATCCCTGGGAATCACTTGTATTACATTTACAAGCTAGCAAGCACAAAAGTAAAAACGGTTGGGGGTTGTGGAAGCCTCTCCCCTCTTACCTTCTTTCCTCAGATAAAAACAGGGAAACAGGATATTCTTAGTTTGCTACTGTAGGTTTTTTTCCCAAAACTCCATATTCTGAAAGGCTTTTGATAGATGGAGAAAGATACCACTTTCTTAAATATATACAAAAGACACCAGTTCTAACTCCCAAGAAACAAAAGAATATTAACATGAAGACAAACTGAGTATGAAAGCAGAAGCCTTGAGGAAAGGTGATCATTAAAACAAGGCTATTCATTTCAATTCCCTTTTTCCTTCCCATTTCTTGCCTGTTTCCCATCAGGATCCCTTTAATAGCCACCACCTACTCCCAATCCACTTATCTCAGGATATTGTAATCATACCAATCTTAATAACACCGGCTACTTTAATAATCTGAAAATAACATAAGCCTGATCTCCAGGTCCCATTAACTTACTCAATAATGAATAGCCAGGCATTGATCCTGCCTGAACTGTAGTTCAAATAGCTGAGGATGCACTTGATTTACCTAACACCCTCAAACACTTGAGTCATGACTCAAAATGATGTCATAAATCCCATAAAAAAGCATTTTAGAAAGAATCATGCAGCAAATAAAGTTCTGAAGCTGTCTTCATATAGTAATCAACATTTTCCCTGTGGTACAACACTAAAAATAATTGAGTGTAGGAAAAAATTTGTGTTTTTATTGAAAACTATGCATTTTCTATAGCTACTCTTTCAGGATTCCAGGCATTCACTCACTGCCTTTGAGCTATGTTACAGCTCTGTAAATTGTAAATAACTGATGGCAAAGGAAAATAATTCTTGTTTACAGACGTGAAAAATCCTGTGGGGTAAAGGTTCAATTGACTTCCCTCCCCACTGTGGAAGCAGCCAGTTTTGCCTCCACTTACATACTGATTTCAATATTCTTGATCTATAAATGTGACTGTTCTTTGGACTTTAGGGAGAGACTGCTCCTAATCACAATATATTTATGTATATGGTATATAGTATATTTAAAACTCCTGGTGAAACTGACATGATGGGTTGTGAAGTGTGTGTTAAATTTTAAATAAGCGGTTAAAATTTCAGCAAAAGAAATATGAGCTGGCCATAAAGATTACTGGGAAAAGTTAGCTTTTCAGAAATAAGTGAGATCCTATCTAAGGAAATAAGCTAGGTGAGTTCTTTCAGGTCCTATTTAACTCTCTGTGCATTTGAGGATTATTTTGTACCTCCTTCAGCTCCAGAGTCAATGCGCTACCCTGACCATCACCACCACCACCACACGGTTTCTGTCAGGCAAGGGTAACACAGCACTATCAAATCTACGTCATTTAGTGAGATCTGGTCTAGGTCTTCTCCCTGTAAGGCCGTTGCGTGTGTATGAATTATGGGTATAAGAATTACTTAAGAAACTTGCTCAAGTAATCTCATTAACAGTTAAGGAGGCTTAATGACTTTTTCCTCTGAGGTAATAAAATCCCAGGTTTAAAAAGAGATTTTCTTTGTTTAATCTGATTACCTCTACAACTAGGCTGGAAACCAAAAAGTAAATGGCAGCCACTGCTCTGGCTTTGGCCCAAGAAGTCCAACAACCTCTGCTCAAAAGATGAACAATGCTGAGATTCTGACTAATGAAATTGTTCCCACTTACCTCTTCACCTCATTTTAGGAGCTGTGCCATTTGGCAAGGAGTACTTTATAGTTTAAAATCTCAGTTCTGCTAATTAGATGTCCTGAATTTACCTCTTAAAAAAATTAAGTGGTTGAGATAATTGGGGAAGCTGACGAATAGGCCCCACATTCTCCCAAATCATGTTCTTCAAGATTGTTAACACTTGAATCATATCACCCTTTCTGCCTCTCCAAGTCAAGCTCTTCACTCCTTCACCACCCTTAACTACTTTTTTAGACCAGCTTTTACAACCAGAGCATCTGCCTGCGAATCCGAGGTACACAAGACCAAAGCCAGGCTCTCCCAAGAGTGGGACAGACTCACCCTTCACAGTGATGACACCGAGATACTCATCGACTTTAAGTCACAGACCAAGTTTGGAGTATCTCTCACAGTGAAATCTCATGAATTTTTTTTACCCACCATGTAGGACACCCAAGCAGCTAAAGCTGGATGGAGAAGAGAGTAACATTCACTTAGGGCTTATTCATTTCACCCTGAATGGACTAGTCTCACTGACTAGTCTCTAAAGTGGGCACTCAACACTGCTGTACAACTTTTCCACATTTCTCTAGCAAAATCTGCTTTACTATTCTCCAAAATGACCACTTCACACTTTTCCAGACCTGCAATAATACTCCCTTCTCAGCTGGGCTCACACTACTTTGAGAAAACACAAACATTCTACCAGGAGCTCTGTCATCTTCAAGCTACCATTACTTCACCTGTGCATATACACTTTATCTTCCTTGTACTGAGTAAGAAACAACTGTCCTTGCAGCAATTAAAGGCCAACATCTGGCCATTGTGGAGACTGTAGAGGCCTGGTGGGAACTGGACTCCTAAAACGACAAATATGTCTGGGAGGCTGTGGTCCAAAGCCATTTTTGCTGGCTATAACCCAGGTCTCAGGAACAGAAGAAGAACACGGCCCTTCTTAAAATTGAAGGTGTTGATGCTCAAGCTGAATCTGAATTCTACCTAGGCAAGAGATGTGCCTATGTGTACAAAGCAAAGAACAACAATGATCCCTGGTGGTAAACAACAAAATCAGAGTAATGTGAGGAAAAGTAACTCGTTCATGGAAACAGTGGCATAAGTTCGTGCCAAACTCTGAAGCAATCTTCAGATTGCTGATCTGCTAAAACCATTGGCCACAGAATCCATGTGATGCTGTACCCCTCAAGGATTTAAACTTACTGGAAAGTAAAAAAAGGTATAGATCTATCCGCTTGGGGGCGGAGGGAGGCCATGCCCTAAGTTACTCCCTGGATTCCATCACTAAGGCCTTCTCTCAAAGATATACGGCACCTGTGATTACCCTCTCCCTGTCTTACATCATCAATATCCCCCTCTTTGGCACCTTTCCCACTGGCACACAAATATACTTGGGACTGTTCTGTTGGAAGTGAGAGTGTGGGTTATGAATACAATTAGGTATAGACCAGCATTTTTCCTTAATGAAATAATAACAGAATGGAAAGTGCCAGGGTACATTAAAAAATGGCAAGAATAAGCAACCAAGATGTCCTTCAGTAGTTGAATGGATAAACAATAGTACATTTAGACCATGGAATATTATTCAGCACTAAAAAGAAAAGCACTATCAAGCCATGAAACGACATCGAGGAACTTTAAATGCATATTGCCAAGTGGCAGAAGACAATCTGAAAAGACTACATATTGTATGATGTCAACTATATGACATTCTGGAAAAGGTAAAACTATGCAGATAATAAAAAAGATCAGTGGCTGCCAGGGCTTTTGTAGCAGGTGGGGTATGAACAGGCAAAGCACAAAAGATTCTTTGTGAAAATACTCTGCTGAAAACCACAGTGATACATGTCATTGTCTCTCTGTCCAATATCAAGAGTAAACCCTAAACTCAACTATGGTCTTCCAGTGATTATCATGTGTCAATGTAGGTTCACCAACCGTAACAAATGTATCCTCTGGTGGGGGGTGTTGATAATGGGAGAGGTCATGCATGTGTAGGGGTGGGGGATATATGGGAACTTTCTGTAAACTTCTCTGCTCTAAAAACATACTCTTACTTAGAGAGTAGGATGCAGTATGGATGGTTCGGATAAGCATAACTAACTGGCTTTGGAACATAATTATCCCACTAATTATATTTTTTCATAGTCACTGAAATTTTCAGAGAAGAATGATAGAAAATCTTTTCCAATGTTGGAGCCATTTAAGGTTGGGGAGGGGAATGTGAACATCATTTGAAAACATCTGAATACAACTTTAAAAAAAAATGAGAAGGGTAAATATTGCTTTGTGTAACTTTTAATTTTACAATAAAATACCTGATGAATTATATCCAAAATATAATTCTCACCCTGGGTCGCAGTCAAAAAAGACCTGAAAGCCAGTAGGTTAAGTATCTCCTAACTTGAAAACAAAAACCAAACCATCCCTTGACACCCGCCTCAGGCTATGCCCTCATTTTTCTGCTCTCCCTGACAGAGTAAAACCTCCCCAAAGCGCTGTCCACCTTAACAGTCTCACTTCCTTACCTCCAATTTGGGGGTTTCTGATGCCACCTCCCTTAGGAAACTATTCTTATTGAAGTTAGTGTGCTGCCTCTGAGTTGTAAAATGTACTGCTGCCTTCCATCTCACTCAACCTTCCACAGTAAGTATCTGACTCAATTTATTATATCTCCCTTCTTGAAACACTTGGTTTCCCTAGATTTTCTTTTCTTTTTTTTTTTAATTTTTTTTAACTTTTTTTATTTATTCATGATAGTCACAGAGAGAGAGAGAGAGAGAGAGAGAGAGAGAGAGAGAGAGAGAGAGAGAGAGAGAGAGGCAGAGACACAGGCAGAGGGAGAAGCAGGCTCCATGCACCGGGAGCCCGACGTGGGATTCGATCCCGGGTCTCCAGGATCGCGCCCTGGGCCAAAGGCAGGCGCCAAACCGCTGCGCCACCCAGGGATCCCTTCCCTAGATTTTCTGATACCACATTTGTAAGTTCTCCTATCTCCTGGCCACTCCTTCAGTTTACTCAGCTGCCTCCTCTCCTTATCCTCTACACTCTAAAACAGCAGAATTCCAAGTGCACTCGTTGACAGCTGAAGATCTCTGAGCCACTTTCAGAGAGCAAATGAGGTTAAACCCTAATTTGCCTTTTTTTTGTTACATTGACATAAGGACTGATAGTGCAACAGTAATGGTGGATAAAACCACTGGTATCTTAGCATGAGCCAAGGAAGTGACCCTGGACTGTACCAGTAATCACTGTATTCTCCATGGCCATCCACTACCAATAGAAAAAAGTCAGTTTTACTTAAGAATATCCTAAATGAAGCAGAAATAAAATTATTAATCTTATTAAATTTTGACCCTAGAGTACATATCGTTTTAATAACTTCAGTGGTAAAATGAGAACTACAAATATACACTTCTGCTACATACCCAAAGTACCCTGCAGAAGCACTTGTGTAATTATTTCAGTTATGAGCTCAGTTAGTCACTTTTTAAATGAACATTGCTTTTATTTGAAAGAACAGTAGACAAATTGTGATTATTCACACTTGGATAATATATTTTCTCAAAAATGAATGAGGGAAGTCATCACTTCACGAAAAACAAGTGACACTCTCTGCTGCCAAATATAAAATAGCTTTCAAATGAAAATCAGAATTTTGGATAACTTGTATCCACCATTTATGATCTGACAGCTTTCCAACACTTAGCTTTTCTGGTAAGAGTAGTGGTGAAACTAAGGAATGCTATTACTTTTCTATTATATAAATATGCAAACATTTGCAACTCAGTGAGTCAGTATTTCCCAAATAATGAACAAATGATGCCACAAAATCATTCATAGGTAAAAGGTCCATTCAAAGGCAGACCAGTGGATTCTTACGCAATAGAGTACAAGAACTTCATTATTGTGACTTCAAATTCCATTGTAAATAGCCTTTCTGAAATAACACTTGCCAAGAATATCCATGATTATCTAAAAGATCTACTGAAACACTTCCTTCTTTTTAATTACCTATCTGCGTCAGGCTGGATACTTTTCATATACTTTAACCAAAACAACACATGGCAACAGTTTAAATGAAGAAGCTGGTATCAGAATCAAGATGTCCTCTATTTAGCAAGCCATCAGAGATTTACAGAAAAAGAAAAGAATGTCACTCTTGTCACTAAATTTTTAAAATCATACAGAGAAATAATTTACACTCAATAAAATTCTTCAATTTTAAGTGAACAATCTGATTTTTTTTAAATGTGCAGTCATGCAACACAATCATGAAATAGAAGATTTAAGTCACCCCAAAGACATCCTTCATTATCTTTTTCCTCCACCCACAGCAGCTGACAGTACAAATTGTTTCTTTCCGTTACTAATCTTTGCCTTTTCTAGAACGTTATATAGAGCCATTTAAGATGCTGCCTTTTCTAGTTTGGCTTTTGTTGTAGCACAATGTTGCTGACATCCCTCCATGTTGTTTTCTATGCTGAGAATTAACTCTTTATTGTTACGGATGGTTCCATTGTATATGGATGTTTCACAATGTGTTTATGGATATTCAAGTTGTTTTCAGTTTAGGATAATATGAATAAGCTGCTCTAACATCTGTCAGTAATATTCTTCAAATTGTTCATTACAACTGATGAATTTTATTTTTTGGAAATATCTCAATAAATCCGATTTCAAAAATCTCTGTGTGGATATACACTTTCATTTCTCTTGGATAAACAGCTAGGAGTAGAATGACTTGGTCATATATAAGTATATGACTTTAAAATAAACTGCTAAACTGTTTAAGTGGCTGTGTCATTTTGTATTCTCACTAGCAATATACAAGATTGCCATTTGCTCTACATCCTGGCCAGCAGCTTGGCATTATCCTTCCTTTTGATTTTCCATTAAGATAAGCACATAGTTTTATTTATTTATTTATTTATTTATTTATTTATTTATTTATTTATTTATTTATTTATTTATTTAATTTATTTTTTGTAGTATTAGTTCATTTAAAATTATATTTACCTATAGACTAATAGACTAATAAGATTTGCCATATATTTACATGTGGTTATTTGGTTTTTGAATACCTATTTTGCTGAAGAATGTTTACATCTTTTGCCCTTGTTAAAAAAAATATGGCATATGCCTTATTGAATTTTAAGAGTTCTTTACATAATATAGATACTAGTACTTTGTCAAATATAAATTTCACAGTATTTTCTCAATCTGTAGCTTGATTTTCATTTCATATTTGCCTTTTAAAAAAGTTTAATTCTACTGAAATATAATTTATCACATTTTCTTTAAGCTTTTTCCTTTATGATTCAAATTATTTGTGAAAGATGATCATGTCAGCTGTGAATATAAAGTTTTATTCTTTCAATTCAAATCTGTATAATATTTACTCCTGCTTCTTCATACTGTTTAAGGCCTACAGAACAATGCTGAACGAGAGATGAGAATGGATACCTCTACCTTGTTCCCAGCCACAAGTATTTACTATTTCATCATTAAATATGATGTTTTAAGTTTTCTGCAGATATTCTTTATCAGATTGAAGAAATTCTATTTTAGTAAGAGTTTTTATTTTTTTTAAAAAAGATTTTATTTATTTATTCATCACACACACACACACACACACACACACACACACACACACAGAGGCAGAGGAGGAAGCAGGCTCCATGCAGCGAGCCCGATGCGGGACCCAATCCCGGGACCCCAGGATCACGTCCTGAGCCGAAGGCAGGCGCCAACCTGCTGAAACCACCCAGGGATCCCCAAGAGTTTTTATTATTATTGGGTGTTCAATTTTGTCAAATGCTTATTCTGTATCTACTTGAAGAATCACATGGTGTTTTTTTAGTGACTTAATACAGTGAATTACAATGATCAATTTTCTTTTTTTTTTGTTGTTCTTTTTTTTTTTTAAAGATTTTATTTATTTACTCATGAGACACACACACACACACAGAGAGAGAGAGAGAGAGAGAGAGAGAGAGAGAGAGAGAGAGAGGCAGAGGCACAGGCAGAGGAAGAAGCAGGCTCCATGCAGGGAGCCTGACATGGGACTCGATCCCAGGTCTCCAGGATCACGCCCTGGTCTGAATGCAGCGCTAAACCACTAAGTCACCTGGGCTGCCCAATGATCAATTTTCTAAAATTAAGCCAATTCTGCCTTGTTAGGATACATCCCACTTGATTATGATATGTTATCCTTTACACATATTGACAGATTTAATTTGTTAAAATCTTATTAAGGATTTTGCATCCACGCTCATGAGGAATACTGGTCACAAGTTTTTAGTTTTGTGGAAACTTCAGCCTCATAAGATGAGGTAGGAAGTATTTCTTCTATTCCAATTTTCTAGCAGAATATGAATGGAATTGATATGATTTCCTTCCTTATGTATTTCATAGAATCCACCAGTGAACCCATTTGGACCTGGCATTTCTTCGGGGACTGCAAATTCAATTTGCCTATTTACTTCTTCTTGAATATGGTTTAGTAATTTGTATCTTTTAAGGAAATTGTCCATTTCATGTATTTTTTTAAATCAGATACGGAAGTTTATTTTAGGGCTAAATGCATTAATTTAATACAACCTATTTGTAAAGTTGGGCTTTTTATAGATATTTAAATGGGAAGCAATAGATAGTTGTGTACTTTCTTGCCTAAATCTAATCCACAATTTTCTCAGTGTGGCATTGTTAGATATCATCCTTTTAGTGGTTAAAATTACTTTCTCTCCAAGCAAATTTTCTGGTTTCCTTATTTTTACAGGCCCTATTTTTGGCAATTCAGTAATGATATGATATTTGTTATTCTGGATCTCCTGTCTCAAGAAAAATCATGTTGACTTCTCAAAAACTGATTAAGGAGGCTCCCATCACACTTATCTAACAACAGGAAAACAGTGATTTCTGTTGTTCAGTCTATGGTCCATGAATACTCTAGGCTTCTTTTCTTACTCTACTAAAGCACAGGCTATCACATCTGTATCTAGTACCCGTGTACTTTATTCCTGCCTCTTCAAATAGATTATTGCTGAACCTACACATTTAAGCTTAAGAACTAAAAGAAGAAAGCAAAATTCTCTTAGCACAACTAAAACACATAATGTGTAGAATACTCACTCAACAAATACTTATAAACTACCCGTTTGGCAGCCACTTAAATTTAAACTAAAAATGTAACCAACAAAGCAATGAATTGATCAAACATTAAAGTGCTGGCCCTGGAAAAGATATATGCAAAGGCCTAATAAGGAAGACAAAGTAAGCTGGAAGCTGGTAATAAATGATAAAATGAAAAGTATTTTCGGTACAAATTTGCAAGCTACAGAAATGCTGAAATTCTTCACAGAAGTGTTGCCGGTGAGTGGCCTGATGACAGGATGTAAAATCAGGAAAGTTTCCATTTTTAATTCCATTTTATTTTCACAGAGATGCTTTGAGAGCAGCTAATTAATATCTTGCAAAGTGCTTTGTGATCAGCTCAAAGCAGAATGTTAGAAATCAAAAAGCAGGCACATAGAGTTACAAAAAAGATCACATTTTTGAATAATCAACTAAAATTCAGTTGCTTAAGTAATACAAACAAGAAAAGTTTCTATCAAACATTACTATAAAATTTTATTTTAAAACATTACTAAAGATGAAAATCTGCAATCCAAGTTCTCTGTAAATAAAGATAATGCCACACAACTTACGATATCTACTGTGAATTTCATCTATTTCCTTTTCTGTTTGGTCCTTTGTAAAAACCATTATCTAAAATAATCCAAAAAAACTTTAATTAAAAATTCAAAATATGACAAAAGCAGAAATTAGTACTATGAACTTTAAAATTTCAAGTGTGGATGTTTAAAATAAGGGAAAATAATCTCTTATCTCATTTTATATAAACCTAGGAAGAATAATTCCTGTGTTATTTCCCTTGAATAGTATAATTACTATACCTTTTACTACTGTTTTAAAATCTACAGAAAATGCAACACTAATATACAGATTAACACTAAGATGAAGTATAACACATCACTTAAATTCCTATTTTCAATATTTAATTTTTCACATTCATTAATATAACAAGTAACACTTGAAACTACAAGACTGAAGGAGCATTTGGCAGATCATTAATAAGGCAGAATTTCTTGTTTGTCTTCTCCCTTCTCTGAGTCTACTGGAAAGGTAACATATAAAGAAAATATGATAATGTAAGACTTTAGTGTATTAAACTTCTACTTCCACTTTTGAAAATCTTAGACTTAAAAAATCAGAAATCTTAGATGGATTCATTACAGTCTGCATCTTATAGTTAGCACATAGGTAATGATAAAGTCAACGAAAATCTCATTTTTTTCTACTATCTGATTATAAACTTACTTCCCTAAGGTCGTAGCTTTCTTTATAGACACATTACCGATGGTCTAGGAAAAAAGTCTACTTGAGAGAGCCCAAAACACTTCCTCCAGTGTCATGGGACACAATGACTATTTTCTTCTTTGGTATCCTTTCCTCAAGTTTTGGACCATCAAGCTAGAGGAAGGCAATAGTGAAGAATTTTAGGTCTCTGATTCCCTCAGAAAGCTCAATAGATACTTAATCCTCACCAAGTATTACAATTACTTAATTTCTCCAACAGTATAATCATAGAACTGCAGAATGTCAGAGCTAAAGGAGAATGTTAGAGATCATACAGTTCAACCCCTGAGTTTAACAAAGAGCCTAATGGCAACAGATGTTAAAGAGCTTATCAAACACAACCAGTATAGAAATGACTAATAATATCAAGGCCACCTGATGAAGAGGCATATGCCTTTTCTTCAGGACTAAAATTATATTTTGTCCTAGAAGACTGCTAAATGTGACAGAATTTTGTGCTAAAAATAAGCTGCAAGTAAATTATAATGCATTAAATGGGCATTTCCCATTTAAAAAGATTTAGTTCTGGCATGCTTTAATTTTACTGGAGTATTCAATTTTTCTTTCCATCATTTCTACTCAGATAATGAAAGAGACCATCAACATACGCTTTCATTGAGTTTACTAGCTTCAAGACGCATCCTAGTCTTCTCCGTATTTTCAATTTCTTGAACTATTTCAGCAGCTGTTAAAATAAGGACAATGTTAATTACATGGTTTTCATCATTGTACTATGGTTATGTGAGATGTTAACACTAAAGCTGGATGATGATATGAGAACTCCCTGTCCCATTCTTATACTTTTTCTCTAAGTCCAAAGCTATTTCAAAATAAAAGGTTTTTTTTTAAAGATTTTATTTATTTATTCGTGAGAGAGATACAGAGAGAGGCAGAGGCAGAGACATAGGCAGAAGGAGAGGCAGGCTCCCCACAGGGAATCCGATGTGAGACTTGATCCCGGGATCACACCGTGAGCCAAAGACAGATGCTCAACCGCTGAGCCAGCCAGGCGTCCCTCAAAATGAAAGATTAAAAAAATGATGACTAAAACACTGAACTCTTACACATGCAGAACAGTTTAAGACATAACCACAAGAGCACAGTAATTTTGCTCTTTCCTTTAAATATACAGGTATAACAGCAGTCCTAATGGAATATGAAAATTAATTTGTTAGTGTGAATCCAATTCACTCAAACTCCAATGTACTAAATATAAATTCACATTTTTAGATACAAAGCACTAAAACTATGGAGCAATATCAAAAAGTCTAACGTATGTGTAACAAAAATCCCAAAAGAGGAAGAAAAAGGGGATGAGAAAAAATATTTAAAGACCTAATGGCCAGAATTTGCCAAATATAATAAAAGACCTCAAACCACAAATGCAAGACACTCAACATGAAGCATAATGCAAAAACAAAACAAAAATACAATAACATATATACGACAGAAAATCTGTGTTACCCAGAGAAAAAGACTGTATTATTAAAGAAAAATCAAGCATTATATCATGCTTCTCATCAGAAACTATTCAAGCCAGAAGACAATGGAGTGATGAATTAAAAGTACAGAAGAAAACCTTTGCTAATCCAGATTTCTATACCATATATATATATGTATATTATATATATATATTTTTAGATTTTATTTATTTATTCATGAGAGACACACAGAGAGAGGTAGAGACACAGAGGGAGAAGCAGGATCCCTGCAAGGAGCCTGATGTGGGACTCAATCCTGGATCCTGGGATCACACCCTGAACCAAAGGCAGACACTCAACCGCTGAGCCACCCAGGGGTCATATATATATATATATATATATATATATATATATATATATATATATATATATATATTTATTCATAAAAGACACACAGAGAGAGGCAGAGACATAGGCAGAGGGAGGAGCAGGCTCCTTGCAGGGAGCCCAATGCAGGACTTGATCCCCAGACCTGGGATCAGGCCCCAGGCCAAAGGTAGATGTTCAACCACTGAGCCACCCAGGAGTCGCCTAATGGAAATATTTTTCAAAAGTTAAGGAGGAATAAAGATTTTGAGGCAAACAAAAACAAGAATGTATTATTAGTAGACCTATACTATAAAAAGCATTATATGAAGTTGTTTAAGCAGAAGAAATGTGAAACCACTAAACTTATCTCTTATCTCTCCTAAAAAACGAAGACTGCTAGAAATAGTAAAAATTAAAGTAAATGCAAAATACACTTTTCTTAACTACTCTAAAAAATAACTATTTATAGGAAAAACAACAACAATATATTGTGTTAACAGCATAGGTAAAATGTAAAAATCATGAAGACAACAACAGGAAGAATTAGGGATTGGGGAGTATATTGTTGTAAGGTTCTTACAAGTGAAACAGTGTATCATTTGAAGGGAAACTGTGAATACTTAAAGGTGCCTATGTCAACCACTAAAACTTTCTGAAAAAGAAAAAAGCCTAAAGTAGAACTATATCAATAAAAAATACTCAGTCCAAAAGAGAGCCAATAAATAAATAAATAAATAAATAAATAAATAAATAAATGGAATAAAAAACAGATGGAACAAGCAAGCAGAAAACAATTAGCAAGATGTTAACTGTAAAGCCAACTGTTATTAATAATTACATTAGATGCAAATTGTCTAAAAGCAACAAGAAATAGAGAATGAGATTAAAAAAAAATAAAAGCAGGGGTGATTGGGGATCAAGTCCCACATCAGGCTCCCTGTGAGAAGCCTGCTCCTCCCTCTGCCTATGTCTCTGCCTCTGTGTCTTTCATGAATAAATAAATAAAAATCTCAGCAGAGTCTGCTTCTCCCTCTGCCTGCTGCTCCCCATGCTTACGCTCTCTCAAATAATTAATAAAATCTTAAAAAAAAAAAGCAAGCGACTATATGCTTTCAGCAAAGAACCCATTTTATTTTATTTAAGATTTTATTTATCTGAGAGAGCAAAAGAGGGAACACAAGTAGGGTGAGGAACAGAGGGACAAGCAGACTCCCCCCTGAACAGGAAGCCCAATGTGGGGTTCAATCCCAGGACCCTGAGATCATGATCTGAGCTGAAGTCAGATCTTAACTGACTGAGCCACCCAGGTACCTCCAAAGAACCGACTTTAAGTAAAAGACATAAACAGGTTCAAAATAAAGGTATGGAAAGAGATGTATCATGTAAACACTAATGAGAAGAAATGTAGAATAGTTATATTAATATCAGATACAACAGACTTTAGAACAATGAATGTTTTAAGGAATAAGAGGGAAATTATATAATGATAAAGGGGTTAATTCCCTAAGAAAACCGAACAATCCTAAATGTGTCTGCACCTAGAACAGAAATTAAAAATATGAACAAGGGGATCCCTGGGTGGCATAGCGGTTTGGCGCCTGCCTTTGGCCCCGGGCGCGATCCTGGAGACCCGGGATCGAATCCCACATCGGGCTCCCGGTGCATGGAGCCTGCTTCTCCCTCTGCCTGTGTCTCTGCCTCTCTCTCTCTCTGTGACTATTATAAATAAATAAATAAATAAATAAATAAATAAATAAATAAATAAATAAATGAATGAATGAATGAATGAACAAGAACATCTAATTCTCAAGAAGATGGACTAGACCCATTTCTCTTCTCACTTCTCATATAATTACTAAGTCTAACTAAAACCCTTAGATGTAATATGACAGGCAATTATTAGAGAACTCTGAAAGGTAGGAGTAAGATGGGCTGACTAAGGGCCTCAGAATTTAAGGAACAATATAATGGTGAGTTCCCTGGGCTTTCTCTTTATCTTCCATATATCCTAGACTGGGCACTGGTGAAGCCTGCAACCCAGAACAACCAGTCCCTACCCCCACCCCCACTACACACAGACACACAAATCTCCAAGAAACCAATTTTTTTTCTAACAGGACTATGAAAGGAGGAGACAAAAAACTCTGACAATACCTGACCTACTCCAGCTAAACACTGCTGATGCTTTCTGTGCACTAAAGTACCAACGGAAAATAAATGTGGAGTATGGTTTCCACTCCCCTTCTCCCCCTCCCCATCAGCAATAACAGGAAGATTGAGGAAGAAAAGCTTTTCTCTTCCAGCAACACACTGCCAGTAAAGATCTAGTGAGGAATCTATACCGCTCTCTCTCACCCACCAGTAGCACCCCCTAACTAGTGATTGGAGTGAGGATCTCAAAGAGAAGAAACCTGAAGAAAAGCATCCTTTAAGCCTGCATAGGAAATCCTAAAGACACTCCTGACCAACTCACATGTGAAATATTCTAAAATTAATAAGCCAAAAGGTCTGAGAATTGAAGCACAGTATGGAATACCAGGTTTTCTGAGTGCCCTCTAGGTAGCAATTAAATGAAGCAGACCAGAACAACCCTGCAAGAGTTCTGAAAACTAAACTATCATTAGAACCACAGTCCACAGAAGTAGGCCTGGATCTGCAAGCTAAATCTAAACAGGATGACAACCTGCTAAAGTAGAATATTTAAAAAGGAGTTAGAATCTCATATTACAGTTAAAATGTCCAGGACACAATAAAAACATCTGTCAACTAAGAAGCAGGAAAATCAGGGGCACCTGAAGTGCCTCAGTGGTTGAACACCTGCCTTCAGCTCCATACAGGGAACCTGCTTCTCCCTCTGCCTGTGTCTCTACCTCTCTCTGTCTCTCATGAATGATTTTTTTTTTTAAAAAGGAAGAAAATCATAACTTCAATGAGAAAAGGCACTCAACAGTTGCTAACACTGAGATGCCTCAAATCTTCAAACTATCTGATAAGAACTTTAAAGCTACCATCATAAAAATGCTTCAACAATTAGGAGCACTCTTGAAATGAAAGAAAACAAAACTGCTACTGTATGTAATACTTTTATGACAGCCAGTGTGGTCCATTATAAAAATATATCTTCTTAAAATAGTTTAAATGTTACATTAAGTTATTAATGCCTTATACGTGGAAGGGACAACTAAATAACAACAATTAGAAACTAAGTGAAGGGGCAGCCCAGGTGGCTCAGCGGTTTACGCTGCCTTCAGTCCAGGGCCTGGTCCTGGAGACCTGGGATCAAGTCCTACGTCAGGCTCCCTGCATGGAGCCTGCTTCTCCCTCTGCCTGTGTATCTGCCTCTCTCTCTGTGTGTCTCTCATGAATAAATAAATAAAATCTAAAAAAAAAAAAAAAAAAAAAAAAACTAAGTGAAACAAATGAACCCCATTGTATTTCAGTAAAAAAAAAACAACTCACGATGAAGAAAAATAATAAGGAAATTATGAACATGATACTTGACTGCATATCCTCAGTCCAAGAAGGGAGGAGAGAAGTCTGGGAGAGAGAACTAAAAAATATCCTGAATTTTTTCTTATAGGTAGGTCTATTTTGCAGTGGTGCAGTAGTATAGACGAAGCAATTCTAAAACTATTTTAGATGTACTACAGAATTGAACAAATTAGTAAATGTGCTGATGCTATTGAAGGGATGATTCTCCCCATGAAAAAAAAAGGGGGAAATATGGAATAGAGAAAGGTAAAGAACTCTGTGAGGCTGGACTGCAAGCACCAGGGTATTAGTATGTTCTCATGATTTCTAATGTATATAAGGTAAATGGATTTACACGTGTGTATATACATACAGTATACAGGCATATGTGTGTATATATGTGTGCACACGCTGATGTGTATGC